ATCTTGGTACCTCTTCTTGATCCCATTCTCCTCCCATCCCTTCAACCCTCCTTCCTTTCCTTACTTACAAAGCCTTGATTCTATTCTAGCCACCTTTTTCCATTTCTTTTTTTCCTTTTTTTCCTCCCCTATACCTAGTTCTCCTTTCCTTTTGAACAATTTCTTCCTGTGTCACAATATCTAGTACACATTTTAAGCAAGTGAGAGTATTTTTAGGATAATTAACAGATAACATCATACTAGAATGCAGTCCACATCCATTCAGAGGACTAAAATTAAAAATCAGAAAGTGTCAAATGTTACCAAAGATACAGAGCAACTGTGCCTGTCATGCACTGCTCATGGGATGTAAAATTATGCAACCATTCTAGCACAGACTAAGGTAATGACTCAGCAATTATACCTGAGGGTCCCTGTCAAAGAGCAATGTGACCCGTATTTCTTCACAATGTTTTACATATAGCAAATTTTATTTTCAATAATGACAAATGAAATAACCCCAAATACCTATCCGTAGGTAAAAACATCATCAGAATGCATTATTCATACCATGGACTTACTCAGCAATAAAAATAAATACATATGAAACAACATGAATGAATGAATCTCTAGTATTTTTAGTTTCCCGAGGGAAGTCTAGTACAAAAGGAGCCATGTTGTATGATTCCATTTCTACACAGTTTTTAAAATTTTTAAAGAGGGTACAATGTATTCTATTTTTGCATGAGAAATTAGTACACTTCTAGCAGCATACAACAGTATATACTTATATTACTGTTTCTATGGGCTCAAGTGTAAAACTCTCTAGGTGCATCCTTTTCTTAAAGTTGAACAAGGGTGAAATCCACGTATCAGTAAGCTACTTTTTCATACAGATAGTGGACTAGGGAATGATCCATGGTCAAGTTCCCTTCTTCACCTTCCAGCTGTGTGCCTGAGGTCCTCCTTTCATTAGCTGTTGAGGGAGAACCACTCTCAGCTCCTAGCAGCTGCCTCTTGATAGGCATCATAATATAGGAATGTTTTTCTCCTTTCAGGCAAGTAAGAAAATCCCTCTGGTGCTTCACTTCATTTGAAGGGGTTATCTCATTAGACAGCCACAATGGTGGGGAATCCATGGCATGTGGGCCATATCAGGCTGTTTTGATCATTGAAAAGTCTAAAAGGTGTGAATCACTGATACAGTAACACTTTCTGTTAATTCAAAGATAAATAATTAGTAGCTTGATCATGGGACTGGTAGTTTGTGATAATCAAAAGTCTTGATCATACTAAAGGAGAGAATATAGTATAAGAAGATGAGTCATCAAGGGCAAAAATCTTGATACATATTTTAGAATTCTAACTACCACACACAAAATAAGTACAAGGAATGGAATACTAAAGATAAGAGGAGACATCAACAATATGGAAAGCAGAAAAAATAATCATTTAATGAAGACAACAGGTGGTTCTTTGAAAAGATCAACAAAATATAAAAGTACTTAGCTAGAGATGTAAGGGGGAAAATTGAATATATGCATTGCTACTACTGGGAATGAAAGAAGAGTTAGTACTACAATACTTCAGACATTAAACATAAGAAAACAAAATGTATGCTAACAAATTTGACAACTATGGGAAATGAATAAATTTCTTTTAAAAATACAGCATATCTTCTGGCCCTACCCCTAGGGTGTGCTGAGATGGCAATTGAAACTGGGCATGGTGGCTGTGCACCTGTAATCCCAGCTCTTGGGAAGCTGAACACAAGAGGATCACTAGGCATGAGATCTACCTAGTGAGACCCTGTAGATCTTGTAGACCCTGTACTAAGATACAAAAAAAAAGAAAAAGAAAAAAATGCAGTATCTCAAAGTTCTGTGTCTCTCCCTCAGTCTCTGTCTCTCTACCTCTCTGCCTCTTTGTGTCTGTGTCTCTCTCTATGTCTTTCTCTCTCTTTCTGTGTCTCTCTCTGTGTCTATGTCTCTCTCTCTCTCTCTCTCTCTCTCTCTCTCTCTCTCTCTCACACACACACACACACACACACACACACACACACACACCACCCCATAAATATAGTCTGAGTACTATAATATCCAAAACACTTGGGAACAGAAGTGCTTCGGATTATAAATTTTAGAACATTTGAATAAACATAATGAGATATTGTGGAGATACTGCCCAAAAATGACAAGATAGCACAAATTGGAAAATGAAATCTATTCATGACAGAGTTCTGAGACAGTTGGATATATGTAACTGCAGAAATTTCAAACTTGACCTCATGACACATGGAAAAACCAATTTTAAGGGCAACACATGTAAACAAAAGAGCTAAAACTGTTAAATTTCTAGAAAAAATGTCTTTACAATATTTGGTTACACAAAAACTTCTTAAAGAAGACACAGAAAATGTGAGGTTTAGGGAGAAAATAATAAATTCCATCCAATTAAAAACTGAAAGGTAGTCAACAGAACTTAAATGCAGGTCAAAAATTAGGAGAAAGTAATTGGGAAGCATCTATCTGGCAAAACTATGTTATATCATAAAACTTAAACTGTTAGTATTTTCCTGTTTTGTAAACTTTCCCACAAATCATCTGAAAGAACATCGTTGCTGAACTTCTGGGTCAAAACTCAAATTAACTGAATTTTGCCTTTAAAGGATTTATTGCTAAGAACTAATTTTAATAGTCATGAGACAAATAACATGTAGGTAAAATAATATATATGTTTCAACTCTTTAGCTTAGGACTATGTATTACTTAATCGAGCTTAAGTCTTTCTTTAAATGTATTTCATACAAGGTCTTATTATACATCTCAGACTCAAAGTGATCCTCCTGTTTTCAGCCTCCCCAGAGCTTGGATTACAGGCATGCAACACTGCCTCTGGACTCAGTGACCAGCTCAGCACACTTGGGGGGCAGGAACAGCATGGCATGTGTGACCAGGGTTCAACCCTGGTCCCTGACTTGCCTAAGCAGGGGCTCAATCCTCTGATCAATATGCTTTTAATCAATGGTTTGTTCTTTGAATGGTTACAAAAGCTGTACATAATCTTAACTAAGAACTGTACAAACATGACAGAATGGTATCAAACTTCAGGCTTAAACTGAAGCATTATAAACATTCATTTCACAACTAGATTCTATAAGGATAGTTGGCTGTGATGAAACTCACTGCATAGTTTTTTCAACAGTGAACATTATGAAGCCCTCATCCCATTCATCAGGCACATGTTAAAAGAGTATTGTTAATGAAGAAATGTGTTCTTTCATTGGATTTAGGCCTTTTGTGTTAACACTTCTGATATTAAATGAAATGTGTCCTGAAATAAAAAATGAATATTTGAAAAAAGAACTCTATAGAGATGAGTACAAGATTGTAAGAAAACATAAATATTGTTTCTCATATTGTATGTGGTAAAAATTCTAATTGGATAATGTACCTAAATATAAAATTAAAAAGTATAAAAACCTTTCCAAGAAAGAATAGAAAGAAGTTTTGACTTTGAAGTTAGGAAGACTTCTAAAGGAAACAAAAACCATAGTATATGAAAGGAAAAAGTAGCCAAATTGGTCGATCAAAACTAAAAATATTTGTTCTTCAATAATAGGAAAATAAACAAGGAAGAAAATATTTAAAGCACATAATTTCAGCCACAACATGTAAAGACTTTCTAGAACTCATTAAAAAGAAGATAAACTAACCAGTACAGAAGAGGTGAAAAGTTTGGACAGATAATTTATAAAAGAAGATCTACTGAAATCCAATAAGGAGGAGACACTGCACATCACTGCTTATCAAGGAAATGAAAATTAACAGTACAAACAGTTAACATCATACTAGAGTATAGTCCACACCCACTAGGAGGACTAAAAGTAGAGATCAGAAAATGTCAAATGTTAGCCAAGATGGAGAGCAACCGTGACCATCACACACTGCTCATGGGATGTAAAATTATGCCACTATTCTAGAACACACTAAGGTAATGACTCAGCAATTATACCTGAAGGTACCTTTCAAAGAGCAATGTAACTCATATTTCTTTTTTTTTTTTTTTTTTTTTTTTTTTCAGAACCAGGGATTGAACTCAGGTCCTTGCGCTTGCCAGGGAAGCACTTATTCCACTGAACCATCCTCCTGCCCCTCTTATTTTTAAGAACAGAATATATTTATTGAGGGAAAGAAAACTCCTGTCTGAGAGAGGGACAGGAGGGGGGGCCTGAGCAGGTTGCCCCAAAGTTCAGAAGGATTTTTTTTTTGCTGGCTCAGCATGCTTTAAGGGCAGATCTGGCAAGGCATGAGGATCTGGGGATGGAACCACAGCATCCTGAGCCTGCGTGCTTTGGTTAACAGACACATAAACAACTGAGCTAAAGGGCAGGCCCACATGACCCATATTTCCACACAAAGTTTTATATAGCAAGTTTTGTTTTCAATAATGACAAATGAAATGACCCAAAATATCTATCAGTAGGTAAATACATCATTAGAATGCAATATATTTGTACTATGGATTTACTCAGCAATAAAAAGAAATACATATAAAACAACATGGATGAATTTCAAACATTTTTAGTTTCCGAGAGTGGTCAGGTACAAAAGGGTCCTTATTGTGTGATTCCATCTCTACACATGTTTATAAAAGCACACCAGTGATTGACTGGGAAGTGGGGGAAAGAAGTATTGCTTATGGCGGTAAGGTGCTTGAGGGTTGCTAGAAGTATTTGAGATCTTGTTTGTGAGGGTGGCTTTCTGAGGGTCCATGTCTGTCAAAATGCATACAATTGAACACTTTAAATATGTACTTTATTGTACATAAATTTTTATTCAATAAACTTATAAACAAGTAGAGTATAAAGAAATAAATTATGATAATGCTTCCTAAAGGTTGTTGTCTCTACTGTTACTTTCTCTCTTTTTCTATTTTTATTTTTTCTTTTATTTCTATTTTTGCAGTACCAAGCATCAAACCCAGGACCCTGCACTTGCCAGGCAGGTGTTTATGCCACTGAACTGTATCCGTAACCCTCTTCTGATACTTTCTTAATTGTGTGGAAACAACTTTCTCTTGAATCTTCTCCAAACCCTCCTTAGACTCTCTCTGACTGCTTAAAGCTACTAGCATTTGTTCTTATTCTGAAGACCTAGATAGAGTTCTAAAACGAGGTCTCTAGTTCATGCAGAGCTAGTCTGCACCCAGAGGAACCCCCTTCTTGCTGCCTACATCTGTAACTTCCTAATGCCCTTCATCCCAAAAGCTGCCTATCTCAGAGCCACCTGCAGCACTGACTCACTCCTCGGGAGAATGACTGTTGAACCCATAGGACTCTGCCTTATTCCTATTCCTTCTCCTAGCCTAGAGCTTTTCTCTTGCGTACATCAATAGAGGAAATATTTTGCCTGTGATGCCCAATCTTTTAAATAGGTTTCTCATGGCAGGCACAGAGTAACATCCCTTCTTCCCCTCATATACAACAGTTTTAACCTTCCTGTAACACCAGATAGGAAGGCATTTGGAGTGTATTTTAAGCATATACAGACTCCACCTGAATTTTTTGGTGTCTCTAAGGGCCAGGCCCACCATTCTTAGTTGTATTTTGTGTCTAGTAATACAGAAACATGACACATAAACCCCTCTTTCCTAATAAAAATATGTATTCCCTCACTAAAAAGAAAATGAACTTTTCCTCAGTGAATTAGCTTGCTAGTTAAATTCATTAGTCTAAGATTAAAAACTTCAAATTAAATTGCATTTTGACACATGCAATACTTTCTTCTGTCCAAACTATTGACAGCCAAGGGGAAAAGCATAAAATCTGAAATACACTTCCTATCTTCATGTTTGAGTTGTTCTCAAGGTTTGCAAAGCATTGTCGTGTTATTTACATGAGGTGATGAACAATGCCAGGTGTGAAATCAATGAAGTCTATAAATCATGCCAGTCATTGTACACCAGCGACCTTACCAGCTTCTGTTCTTAAGGCCTAATGTTTTCAAAGTTATAAAGTTTCATGTAATACCACATGATCAAGACTAACAATTTCAGTCATTCCTTCTCCAACTCAGAAAAAAACCTGTACTTCCAGTTGGATATGGAATCTAAGCAAAAGTGATCCTGCCAATTTTCCTGAAATTTAAGCAGAGTGACATATTTTCATTTGCTGTTCTTCAGTGATAGATGCTCAATGATTGTCAGTTAACTGGGAAGTAAATGAGAAGTACATGAGCTGGAGTGTTGGGGGTGCTATTCTCCCATGGGCTTACTGATTGGTACTCTGTGTCTCTACCTCCACTACCAGCTCAGGTAACAATGGCTCCTGAGTGAACAAGAGCTTTGCCATCTGAGTTGTATGAATCATCCGATTTACTGGTTTGGGGCTGTGCTTCATTAGATCCAAATAGCAAGTGTTCAAGCTAAGCAGTAACACTGGGCTGCTACAGACAAGAGGAACATCTTATCCAGGACAAAGGAGGTTTCTTGAAGACCATAGCTGCTGTTTGATTGGGGATGTATCCATCTGTTTATGTATGTATGTATCTATCTATCTGTCTATCTATCTATCATGTGTTGATCTAATAAGACTACTTAGAAGCTCACTATTCATTAAATAGAATGAATTAATTTTTAAAAAATGGTGTCTATCTCATGAAGAAATAGCACATACATAGACAGTGTTGCAGCTGGTGTTTAAAAGACCCCTAAAGCCACATACAGATATGAGGGAGAGGGGCTCAGAGCTGGTTGGATCCAGAGTGTGTGGTACTGAGATCAAGGGTGTGTGATTACTGACTGGTTTGGCATAGTTCTTACTAGAATTAAGGGTGTGAGTGCTATATTTTCCCTAGGGGAGGTAGTCTGCATAAAAACGAAGCATAGAAGGAGGGCTAATGCATTCTTGTCACCTGCCTGTTTGCTGTGGACTGTTTCTTTCCCGCAATGCTCCCCTCCTGTAACAACCCCTGCCTTGGAGCCAGCCAACAATGGACCAAAACTTCTAAAAACCGTGAGCTAGATAAACCTTCCCTCCTTTAGTTTCTGTATTGGGTATTTTGTCTCAGCAATGAGAAAAGAAATTAAGACAGGTGGAGACACATATTGCTTCATATAGCACTTGGCATTGCTGGAAAGCAAATCTCCTTAGAAACAGATTTGATAAGGATTCCATACTTTGAGCAATTTCAACAGTGACTGTGAAACTTATGCAAATAGCATTCAAAGCCTCCCAGACAAGAAAAACCATTTTGATGCAAATTGCATACAAAATGATCATTGAGGGAAAAATAAGGGATCAATGAAGCAAAACCAAGACAATGAAAGAAGAGAGCCTTAGCACAGTTTAGTGAGAAGGATTAGAAGCTCATAATAGACCAAACCTAAATATCATTGATACATGCTTAAGTCAGCTGTTTAGTAAACTGCATGTAATTTCCTTTCCACAGCACTGTTTGGTTCTTTTGAATTCTAGGATCAACCTTGAAGAGAAAAAGCAGAGTAGTGTAGCATTTGAGAGCACAGACTTCAGAGCTGATCAGATTTAAGTTTAGATCCTGCTTTTGTTTTCATATGACCTTGGATAAGCACCTCTGTGAGCCTCTATTTCATCCATAAAATGAAATGATGATGCCTAGAATTATTTGTGTGTTTGCTATAATTCCACTAGTAAAGCCCTTGTGACCAAGGCTAGACAAGCTCCTCATCTATTGCACAGCCCCAGAGGACAAACCATTCTTTTAGCAAGAATGCAGCACTTGCTCAAATGCTGCACATCCTGCTCTTACAGAACATGCAGCCCCAGATGCAGAAGAGGTGGGAAACCCTTTGCTCAGCTTCACATCCATGATATGCAGGTGTGCGTGGAGACAGAGTCTTGGGGAGAAGCCTAAGAAAAGAGGAGACGAGTACAGCTGCTCCTACAGTCTCTGTGGGCCACTCTGGAGAAGGAGTTAGTAATCCGAGTCTGCAGATACTCAACAGACATTCTCATAGTTTCCTGTGTCATCTGCATGGTCACTCTCTCTCCTGCTGGTCTGCTTTGTAAATCCATCTGCATGTATCTTCTTCACCTCTGAATAAATGACTGTAGGTTCCTGGTGAGAAATCCATAAACAATAAGCACCTAAATATAGATGAAGAAGAGCATACAGACCAGAAAGTGAGGATATGTGACTCACCTTATCTTCCCAATGCATCCTTGGCAAATTTACTGTTGGATGGGAATAGAAAAGAAAAGTATTGAACCATCTAGCACTGAGCTATGAATACATGCCTGAAAAATTCCTGGTGTCTATTCTGTCTGGCACTGCAGTGGTGGCAGTGTGTATAGTTAAGAGGGAATTAAATGATTGTCATTACAGGAGGAGCAAAAAATGCCTTTCATGTTGGGCTCATTTTGAGATGGCACTTTGATCGAAGACCCCCTGCTTCATCTGACTGCAATGACCACCTCATCTCTACTTGTCTGAAACTTGTCGCACCTAGGTCTCCATTTGGATTCTGGATGTTCTGGATCTGGGAATAAGTCAAAGTAGTAGTTCCAGGATTTACTATAAGAAAACAGAAGGTGTTATGGTTGGCTCTAATCAAGAGCCTACAGCCTGGACTTTGGACTTGGCTTGTTCCTCACTGTGTGGTTAGGCAATGGTGGTGCTGTGATGTTAAGAAATAATGGGACCTTTACTAAGTAGAGCCTGGCAGGAGGTCATTACCAGCTCCCTGCCTTGCCATGTGGTCTCTTCCCCCTACCTATGTTCCTGCTTTTGTGATGTGATCTTCAATGAGTTCTTCCATGGAAGAACTTCATCAGAGCTGATGCCATTGCCATGCCCTGAACCTTCAGAGCTCTGAATTAAATAAAAGTTTACTTAGTATCTGGCCTCAAGTATTTTATTATAGCAATGAAAATCAGACTAATTCTTCTTCTGAGACACCAAATTCATAACCACTTTTATTCCCCCATATAATGCTAGAAAATTTTTTAAATTGAAATCAAAGGATCCTGAGCTGTTGTTCAACCCCTTCTTGTCCCCTGCTCATCCTCTGAATTTCCCTGTCCCCAAGGGAGGTCTCACCATTGCTGTAAACTGGCTGCAGGTCTCTTAGGGCCTGTGCCTCATAAGGCATGGGCTCTCCAGTGTTGGTTGTGGAGGGTCTGGACGAGGGGGGCTCTTGACTTTCATTGGGACTATAACTGTGACAAGAGAAAAGACAATAGATAAGAGGTATTCATGGGTTACACAGAGTCTCAGGCAAACTGGTATCAAGAAAGGCACAGAGCCCAGCATGATTCATGGAAAACTATCATGGCCAATTCTCCATGACATGTTTTTGAAACCATGACATATTTTTGAAAATATCAGAAGGGATGTAGCACAAGACGGAGGCCAGGCAACATCATGGGGTAGACGAGAGGAGGGAATACCAGGGGGCAAAAGCCCACAGCATCAGGTCACTTTGATAGGGTAAAAACTTATATTTGGATAATTTTTGCAATTACTTTAAAAGCTGTAAATGCTTGGGGACTTATATGCAAAGACTTCTGCATTCCCACAGAACTTCTTTGTCTTTTTGAAAAAGTCTCTTTCAATTTTCTAACTCATATTTCAATACTGTACTGAAAAGGATCAAAATGACTTCTTATCACTTTTCTAAGTTTATTTATTTGTGTAGTCAATATTGTGAGTTCAACAACGCTGGCAATTGATAATTATTTCCTAAGTAAGCACATTCTATAAGAATGAGGAACAAAAAACAGAATGAATGGATGGTAGCCCTATAAAAGAGAATGTCATGAGGACCTCAGGGGTCAGTTCCACTATATAGAACAAAAGAAAATAGGTAAATGAATGTGAGTAACACATATTCTGTGTAAAAGTTTGCCTGGTTGTCTAATCATATTTTTGCATTTTATAAGAATGTTAAAATGTTGATAGGATGTTTTTAAAATATTTTCAAATAGGGGGCCAGGGAGATGGCTCAGTAGAATAAGCACTTCCCTGGCAAATGCAAGGGCCTGAGTTCAATCCCCGGTTCCACAAAAAAAAATTATATATATATATACATATATATATGTATATATATATATATATTCAAATATATGTAATTTCATGTTAATGTATTCTGGGGATAAATAAATCATGAAAATCCAGCAGCACAGGAAACAAAGACCTTCTCACCTAGGTATTGCTGTAGCAGAAGCTTCTCCTGTAAAATAAATAAAGAGAGTGATTTGTGTGGAAAAAGGGCTCTATGTTGGAACATTCTCTCCTAGAAAGCAGATCCATTCTAAGATCTCAGATATAACAAATCTTGGGGAATAGTCATCCCCACCTTCCATGCAGAGTTATAGATTAGGAAGCTAGAGTCCTGAAACACATCTGTCCAGAATGACACTTACACTGAAACTCTTTTTGTTTATTTGTTTTGTGTGGCTTTGTTTTGTTTGTTTTGTATTTAGGACAGGGTTTACAGGCTGGGACTACAGGTGGGGGCCACCACACCCAGTCTCATTCACCATCTCAGCCCACCCAAGGAGCGGGGCCAGCATGCCAGGGATCAAATTCTGGCTGAGGCATTCTGCCTAAGCAGGCACTTTGGTTCACTGAGCTATCTGGCCGGCCCTACACTGAACCATTTAGAAGCTAGTAGTTGGAGCTGAGGAGAGAGCTCAGCAGTTGAAGTGCCTGCCTGATGCCTTTATTGTCCATATAATGCTAGGATTTTTTAATTAAAATCAAAGAATCCCAGATACCATGTGCTGTGCTGGCCTCGGGACACTGGGCATATCATGCCACCCCAAAACCGGCAGTGGTGCTGCACATTTGTAATCCCAGCACCAAGGAAGCTGAAACACGAGGTTCATTATGAGTCTCAACTGGGTAGCAAGATCCCATATCAAATAAATAATTAATTTTAAAAATCCAAATGGCATAAAAGAAAACATATAGGAAAATATCCTTAAGCTTAACTATATCAATAATTATATTAATGCCTTAAAGTCTCGAGATGGTAGAATGGAGATTCCCAACATTTCCCTCTTCCAAAAAGAAAAAGTAAAGAATACCTGAGTGACTGCCTTTAGAAATGAATGAATAAAAGAGAACACTGGAACTCTGCAAGGGATGGGAACTCAGTAAAGAGCAGAGATTTGGGGCAACAATATTAACATAAAAAAGGATGTACAACACTGAGATGCCATCTCACCCCCAGAAAGAATAGCTATCATAAAGAAATCAACCAATAACAAATGCTGGAGAGACTGTGAGGAAAAAGGAACACTTCCCCACTCTGGTGAGAATGTAGACCAATGCAACCATTGTGGAAATCAGTGTGGAGACTCCATAGTAAACTAGGACTGGAAATCCCATTCAAACCAGCTATCCCCCTACTGGGAATTTTCACAGTGTAACTGAAAACACCATATCATAGTGATACATGTGTACCTATGTTTATAACAGCACAATTTTTGATAGCCAAATCTTGGAAACTACCAAGATGCCTGTCACCTGGGGAATAGATGAAAAAGATATGGTATTTATATACAATGAAGTATTACTCAGCTATAAAGAATGATAAACTTGAAGCCTTTATATTTAAGTGGATGCCACTTGAAGATATACTCATAAGTGAAATAAAACAGACACACATGTGTAAATATCATATAGTCTCCCTAGTGTGTCAGAACTCAAAAGAAGAAATAAAAATAGAAATGTATAACATAATTAAAAAGGAAAGAAAGAACTTGAGAACTAGACAATGAAGAAAGGGCAAGGAAAAAAGCTAGGAAGCATGGCAGGGGCAAACCCATACATTTATATGCACGAGATGGTTAAGGCAGTGATCCTGAGAAACTTCTGCAGGTTTTTGAAACTAGAAGTTAATTGGTAAGAATCTCACCCTATTTATGCTGATACCTATGAACTAAGAAACTACACTGAAGATAGCAATGTGTAATAGTAGAGTCATGCTTGGAATGCTTGTCATTCTGGTCTTCTAAATACATACTGCTTCTCATGACATACCAATTACTGCCATACTCTCTCTCGAGTAAGTGTTTTTCTAAAAAAAGAAAGGTAATAAATGAAAACAAGAGACAAGAAAAAAAAATGTCATAGGACTGTTCTGCTACAGTGCTGTATATGGTTAGATTTCTAAATTTCTGTGTAAAAATATGAAATAGCATATTCTTCATTTTTAATTTTTTTATTTTTTTCTTCATATTCAGTAGGGACTAAAAGTTTAACATATCAATACATGATGGAAAATACCTGTTCAATGTTATGCCTAAGATGATATTCAGACAGATAGTGAGGTTCAGCTCAGCTACCTAGGCTGTAGGGAAATAATAATAAGCTTCTCTTCTGGAGGGTTATCAACTTAAGTTTACAGACCAAAAATTAGAGGAAAACAAGAGCTACAAGGACAGTCAACATTTTGTCCTAGCCTCTCAAGGTCAGTGAAGACTCAGAACATAGGAGAACCTGTACTGTAACATCATGTAATTCAGTTGTGTCCAAAATTTTCCGATCAAGGAGATTATAGGGCCACAGAAGAAAGTGATCAGTGATGTACACTGTGCCTAAGGAGCATCACATGGAGAGAAATCATTCTCTCAGGCTTTCACAGAAAGCCTATTGGTCAAGCAATGTCCATGACTCATCGACATGGCTGACACTGATCTACAAACTGAGGATCTACAAACTGAGGTACAGGGTTTCAGGATAAATCCTGAAGGGATTTGACTGACCTTATCAGATACAAAAGCTGCATTTCTTGTTATATAGGTCTTTCTTTATCTTGTCTTAACCATCCAGCAGAAAAGTATAAAAACGAAGTATAAAAAGTAAAGCCGCCCTTTGATCCCTTGCTTGGGATGTTATCGGCTAGCATTTGTGTAAACCTAGTGTTAGGCAAATGGTGGAAGTCAATAGAGATAGTAGTTTGTATTCACTTAAGTAATTATGCACATTCCTTAGTCTGCCTTTACCCTTCAATAAATGTGAGATGCTTCTGAGGCTCTGGGCTCACTTGGAGAGAGACTAATCTCAGTGAGACCTCTGAAGCTACATTAAAAAAAAAAGTAAAGCCACATTAATATGCTGAGCTGTAAAAAGTTCAATTCAACAACTTCCTACATTGTCAGTCTACAGATAAACCACTACTATTATGGACTACCAGACTACATTGGAATATTTTGCTAAATTTACACATGTACAATATTTAAATGACAATGGAATACCCTTCTCTGACCAAACTAAACAAAAAGGGGGATATATTTGAACAACCATTTTGTATCTGTATCTTCAAAACAGTTAGGATAGATATACAGCTATATTCTCATATTTCAATGAACAGAAAGATTTGTTCCAATAGTGCTTATAAATAGGATATCATGTCTGCATCTTGTACAAAGAATATCCACTAAGACAATATGCAATGTATTAATTATTGAGACTGTCCTACTAATCGGTTTTGAAACTGTCTCATTGCTATTTGTTTCTCAGTAAAATTAATTTTTTAAATAGTCCTGAGGGCAAAATAAAAAATGAAACAAAAAAAAACCTAAAACCCAGGCATCCTATACATAGCAAAGCTATCTCTTTGAAATAGTCTTCTCATAGAAGAAAACACAGGTGTTCATCATGTGTACATTGGTTCTTCAAGAAATGTTTAAGAGGTGTGGGAATTGAGGTAGCTCAGCAGACTAAATACCTGCATGGGCAAGCTCAGTATTGCATGCCATGCCAACCCACCCCCAGGGAGAGCTGAAGCAGCGACTGAATCCTGGCGCGGTAGCACATGCCTGTAATCCCTGCACTGGGCAGGCTCAAAACAGGAGGATCATTATGAGTCTGTGCTGCACTGTGAGACTCTGTTGATCCTGTATTAAGTACATTAATAATTAATTAATTAAATTCCAATAACATTTTTCACAAGACTAGGAAAAAGTCACTAAATACATATGGAAACACAAAATTAAGAACCCATGAGTTTCATGGTTGAAGTGCCTGTCATTCTGTTCTTCTGAATATGGGCTGCTTGTCATGACATGCCAGTTGCTGCTATGATGTCTCTTGGGTAGATGGTTGTTCAAAAAGAAGGGGGTGGTAAATGAAAGCAAGAGACAGCAAAAGGAATATTGTGGGACTGTCCTGCTTCAAGGTTGTATATGGTTAGTTTTTTCGACTTATGTGTAAACATAAGAAGCATATAATTCTTTATGCCTATTTTTAAAATATATTCTAATTTTTAAATGTTTTTTATCATATTCTGTAGGGACTTAAAGTTCAACATATCAATACTTGATGAAAAATACCTGTTCCATGTTATGCTTAAGATGTTTGATATGCAGACAGATACTAAGGTTAAGCTTAACAGCCTAAATTGTATAGTAACAACAATAAGCTTGTCTTCTGGATGGTTAACAACCTAAGTTTGCAGACCAAATTAGAGAAAAAGGAGGGCTGCAAGGAAAGCCAACTTTTTGGCCATAGTCTTCCAAGGTCAAATAAGATTCAGGGCATATGAGAATTTGTACTGTTACATCATGTAACTCGGTAGTGTCCCAAAATTTCTGATCAAGAAGATTATGGGGCCAAAGAGGAAAGTGATTGATGATGTAGAGTGTGCCTAAGGAGAGTCACATGGAGAGAAAACATTCTCTCAAGCTTTCACAGAGAGCATATTATGGCCAAGCAATGGCCATGACTCATCCGCATGGCTGACACTGAAAAAGGTTCTACAATCTGAGGTACAGGATCTCAGGATAAATCCTGAGGGGATTTCACTGACCTTATCAGACCCAAAAGCTACAACTCTTGTTGCATTTGTCCTGCTTTATCTTGGTCTTAACCATCCAGCAGAAAAGTATAAAAACGAAATATAAGAAGTAAAGCCATGCTGTTATGTCGAGTTGTAGAGGATTCAGGTCAACAATTTCTGACATCGCCAGTCAAGTGGAAGACCCAATACTATTATGGGCTACTGGACTCTTTTAGGATATTTTGCTGAGTTTACACACCTATAATATTCAAATAATGGAACTTAACAAAAAAGGGGGATAGAGATGAATATCTATTTTGTATCTGTGTATTCAAAGTGGTTAGGATAGATATATAGTTACATTCTCTTAATGAACAGAGGGATTTCTTCTAATGGTGTTTGTAAATAGGATATCAAGTCTGCATCTTATACAGCAATTAACCACTAGGAAGAATGTGTGCAATGTGTTAATTATTGAAACTGTCCTACCAATTTGGTTTGAAACTGTCTCATTGCTATTTATTTCTCAATAAAATTATGAAAAAAAGAGCACAAAACAATCTTGAACAGTGAGGGACACAGTTGAGGGCATCTTAACACCTACATTTTCAAAATACATTATAAATGTAGTAATGACATGAAAAAGACCAATAAAAGAGAACTGAGAACCTAGAAATAAATCCTGTTTTGTAGCCAAATGATTTTTTTGGTGGGGGAAGGTCCCAGAAATTGAACTCTGGACCCACTGCCAGGCAGGTTCTTATTCCACTGAGGAATCTGAGAACCCAGCCAAATGATTTTTTTTGCAAAAGTAGCAAAGATATCTAATAAAGAATGAACAGTCTTCAACAAACCATGCTGGAGAAAATGGGTATGCATATACAAAAACTTAAATTGGTCCCTATCTCTCATCAAATTAACCTAAATACAGGATCAAAAACTCCAAAAATACCACTAGAAAACTTGGGGAAAATACTCCAAGACACAGAAATAAGCATTTTTTTGGAAAATGCCTACAAATACAAGCAAGTAAAACAAAATTTAACAAATGGAATTAAAAGAAACTAAGAAGCTTCTGAACCCCAAAGAAAACAGTCAATGTGGTTTCAACCTTCAGAATTCATCCAATCAGTAAGAAATCCAGTCCTAGCCCAGACCCAGTGAGTATGAGGGACAGCTTCCAACTACCTTGCACTGGCGGGACCTACTGGTCCCAGCACAGGTGCAGCATGGATGAGACCCTCTTTCACCCCCTTGGGATGACCCCACCACTCCGTAGCACCCCCCCCAACCCCGCCCACCGATTAGTAATTTCTGTCGCATTCTGGGAACCCCCAGATACAGTCCTAGCCCAGGCTCAGTGAGTGTGTGTGAGGGCTGACTCTCCCCCTACTCCACCTTGTCCCTTCCAGACTTAGTTCAAGCCAGGCATACAAGCTTGGGGTGAAGCGCTGCAGCTGCAATCCCTGCAGAGAATGTAGGGAACAGAACCACCCAGGTAGTCCAGGAGGAGAACATCTTGCCAGAGGGGCACAACAGGTTCACCCCCAAGGACAGCAGCAGGAAGGAGCTGAGAGCAGCAGCCAGACCCAAGCCAGACACAACTAGATAAATCCAAACTTTGTAGATCTGTACCTGAATTTCAGTGGGTGACAAGGTTATAACTGCACCAAAGCTCTACAACAAAGGTCAGAAGACAGTGCTGCACAAAATGAAGAGAAGGAACAAAATGCAACCACAGAACCCAAGCCCACCCATACAAGTGCAGAGGACACTAACACAGAACAAATTGGGAATCACACAGCTGAAAGCAATGAATCAGCAGCTTCTGAAATAATGAAACAGCTGCAGAAAGGTATAGAGGAACTCAGATTGGAAATGAAAAAAGAAATCCCTGAATTAATAATATCTGCAGTAAAGAATCAAATGCAGAAACAGATGGAGAAAAACCAATGCCCACCCAGAACAAGTGCAGAGGACACTAGCTCAGCTCAAATGTATGAATTAATAGTGTTGATAGTAGATAAGCAACAGCAGAAAGTTATAGAGGAACTCAGAGCGGAATTCTTTTCTACTAGCTCAGCTCAAATGTGTGAATTAATAGCATCGATAGTAAATAAGCAACAGCAGAAAGTTATAGAGGAACTCAGAGTGGAACTTTCTGAAATAAGAAAAGAATTCTCTGAACTCAAAGCATCTGAAGTACAGAATCAACTACAGAAACATAGGGAGGAAACTCAATCTGAAAAAAACACTACAGTAAAAGAATTAATAACTGCTTCTAAAGAAGACATTGATTAAAAAAATAGAGGAGATTAGAAAAATGACAGATTCCTTGAATGAGCAATACAGGAAAGAAATAGATCACATGAAGTAGAGTCAAAGAGATATAGAGGAATTTAAAATCTCAATTACAAGCTTGTAAAACCGTTTAAGTGAAAGTGAAGACAGAATCTCAGATCTTGAAGATGCTGGTGCAGCTAGTGAAAAGGTAAGAAAGGATCTCTTAAAAACAACTATGATGCAGGAAAAAATAATCCATCACCTGCAAGATGATGCAAAGATGAACAATTTGAGACTAATAGGCATCAATGAGAAAGAAGGAGTCAATACAAATGACATTAAAAAAATATGGGCAGAAGTAATAGCAGAAAACTTCCCAAATATGAGGAAACAATCTGACATTCAGTTAACTAAAGCATACAGAACGCCAAGTAACCTCAACCCAATGAAAAACACACCAAGACATATAATAGTCAAGATCCCAGAAATTCAGCACAAGAATAATATACTGAAAGCTGCTAGAGAAAAGAAGTAGATCACATTCAAAGGAAAACCCATCAGAATTACAGCTGACTTCTCTTCACAAACCATGAAGGCAAGAGCATGGAGCAGAGTACTTCAAGTCCTCTATGAAAACAAATTCCAGCCCAGACTACTATACCCTGCAAAACTTTCTTTCAAGTTTGATGGAGAAGTGAAATACTTCAATGACATCCTAACAGTAAACTAAGGAAAAATCCACATGATTATCATCAATGTAGAAAAAGCATTTGACAAATGTGTGTTTGTATGAAACCCCCCAGTAAATGAGGAATAGGGACTTTTAGCAAAATGGAGAGTATCTTTAAAACTTCACAGATAACATAATACTTAACCGTGAAAGTTTAAATACTTCCACGCTGAGAACTAGTGCAAGATAACAATGTTTGTTCTCGCCTCTTCTACTCAGTATTATACAGAAGATTCTAGTCAGTTTAGTAAAGCGAGAAAAAGCAAGTGAAGATCAGAAAGAAATAAAACTTATTAGCAGACAATATGATTATCCATGTGGAAACTGAAAAATATACACAGCAGTTATTAGAACTGATGAATATACAAAAAGCAATGATAAATCTGTGAACTAAGAACAAGCAATCCAAAATTGAAGTTTCAATCTTTTTCTCAGTATTTTGTCCAAATTTCATTATATTTGATTGCTGTTCAAGTATATCACAGTTTGTGATTTATATTGGCAGCCATTATCTATTCATTTTTACAAATAGAAAACTTTATTTTTCGTCCTTTTTATTTTTCAGTAGGCTTGGGTATAGAAGTGGAATTGGAAATAAAACTCTCTCACTAAAGACTTTACTTTCTCATTACTATCACTTATAGAAAATGAGTATTAAACTTGACAGCCTACTACTTGGAAAGGAAAAATTAAGTTTTATAGGATGTAATACTCAAGTCAAAGTTGTTACAGCAGGCACAAAAAATATATGGACACCCACCTGAGTTCCTTTGGGTCCTGAAGTGATACAGCAAAGCAGCAGAAAGCACAAGACCAAACAACCCCCCAATGACTCCTCCAGTGGCAGGACCAGCTATGTTCCTAGAAATTTCTGAATGGGAAGAACTATACTTGAGTTCCAATGACAAAGACTTTAGATCAAGACAAAAACCATGCAAGTGACAGCCAGAAATCTATCAGAAAAGGTATTTTCTGGATTCTGGTTTCTTCATTTTAGTTACCTTCTAGGTAATTTGCAATTTTAAAAATGACACATAAAAAATGGCTACCAGCACCTAAGATTAAAATTTGTTTCCTCCCCCTTTTCCCCAGGAAATCAGTATCAATCTCAAGCCCCAAAGCTTGAGGACATGCTCAGAAATTCTTGGACACTGACAGAATTTGCAGTCTTTTTGGAGAAATGTTTTATTGATCATCACTATGGCTTTAGTTGAGATACCACTTATTAACCCACCTGTGACACTGAGTGTCATCACCTGACTGCGCTGGGCTCCCATCCCATTATCAGCCTCACAGGAGTAGTTTCCAGCATGTTCTGTGTTCAACGAGAGGTTGAAGGATGCTCCTCCTCCCAAGGGAGCTGGGCTGCTCCCCAGAGTGACATTTTCATGGTAAAACCGATACAGGATTGGCGGAGAGCCTCTCTGGGCCTCACAGTAAAGTTCCACTATGTCCCCAACCACAGCCTGGGCTTGAGGGGACCGCAAGGTAAGGACAGGGCAGGATACTGGAACTGAAGGAAGAAAGATAGTTCATTGATAATCCTGCATAATTATATATGCAGAAGAACATGATAAAAATATACACAGCATAGTTTATTATACTAACACGGATCTGGATCCATGAAAACCTGGATTTGACCCCTATATCTGCCCTTTATTAACTCTGAAAACTTAGGAATTGAACCCAGGGCTTTGCTCATATCAGATAAGCACTCTAAAACTGAACTACATATCCTGCCGTTTATTTTTCAGTTTTGAAATGGTCTTGCTAAGTTACTCAGGCTGACTTTGAACTTGTGATTCTCCTGCTTCAGCCTCTCAAGTTGCGTGGAGTACTGGCTTATACCACCACCTTTGATTGTAATTTTGATTTTTAAAAACTATAAGTTACTTAAGTCTCAGTTTATTCTTTTGCAAAATGAATATATCAGAAGCCATTGTTGTTAATACTATGTATACAGCATGATATTCTTATTATTGACAGAAGTAACTAAATCAAGGGTCATTTCTGAACAACTGTATTTCTAAATCTTAGCCCAAATATGAAGACTTTCACATATATCTAAATTAAGACTTCATTATTCTTTATCCAATTACCTTGCTTTACTTTTCAACATAGTATTTCCCAGTACCTACTATCTATCCATCCATTTATATCCATTCTTCTATCAGTTTGCATATGTCATTGCCTTTATAGAGTATAAATTCCATTAGAATAGGGATTTATCTGTTCTTTGTTGTATTTCCAGTTGCTGGGAATTTGCATAAAATGTAATAATTGCCCAATATTTGGTGACTATGCTGATGACCAGGTTGATCCACATTGGCACAAAAATACCAAGATGTAGCCCCAGTGGCAATGATTTCATTTTCATTGATGATTATAGAAGTAGGACAGCCAGTAAGCAAATAGGAAAAGGATCAAGAGATGGAGGGAGAAGAGTGGGATTGTAGAAAGAAAAGAACATGCAGAGATGTAGCTTGAAGGGAAGGGAGGAAAAGAGGACATTAAAAGCATTACGATATGTCATGGATGACTTATGAATGAATGTAACCACTCATTCACAGTGAATGTATCATTATATATTGGAAACATATACCCATAAAAATATTTTTTAAAGAATATAAAACCATTAATGTGTAATGCAAACTGTGAGATTTCTGCTTCTGCTATGTTGTGAAGAAACTTAATGAGCCAGTCTATGCTCAGGGCTTTATCTATAAATTGTGTGCTTTATTGGCATGGGATACTAGGTAAAGATCTCAAGCTCTGATTTGCATTAGAGATCAGCTACAGAGGCAGACTGTGGCTATGGGGTCATTCATTGAAAAGCAATGACTGGACTTGGAAACTAGCCACATTTTGGCTGCAAGGAAGAGGACATGGACACCTGCTACCTCATCACAGTAGAGATGTCATTGCATTGAAAGTATGTGGTTACTGCTAAACCTAAGCTGATAGCTTGAGTTGAGTTCTTCTTCTGAATACCCTCTGAAATATGCTCCTACTAGACAAACTGTGTGGATGAAGAGGGGTTCAAAGGTCTTAAATTGGCACTTTGCAAACCTCAGTCAGTGTTTCTACCTAAATTTTTGAACTTCTACATTTTAGAAGCAGAGCCTTCCAGCTACTTCCATTGCATACTGTCCACAAGAGATCACTGAACCTCTAGTTCCATATACACATTCCTCTCAAATAAGACAAGTCAATGATTAAAAGATATTAGGGCTATCATCAAGTTCCATGGCATAATATACCCACTGGTGTATGAAGTAAAATATGAGAACACAGTGATACCTTTCTTCACAATATTAATTTGTTCCACAATTCTGGGAAAAGGCCATTTTTGCCATTGTGCAGGAAAGATGGCTGCAGTTGTGTTTGTCAACCAATGCAGGGTTCATAAATTTAAAAAAAAATGTTTCCAAATGCTTCTTTTTGTGAAACAAATTGTTCACAAACAAAAACATTCAAAAACCAAGGTATTTTGTAAAAGTGTTGAACATAAATGTTAGAAAAGCATTCATGTTTTCTAAAATTTGCACTGGCAGTCTTCCTTAAGTCATTTCTGGTGTTGAGAAAGCCTAGGAGGTCCTATGAAGGTAAGGATGCTCTGGACATACGGAGGTGGACACTGGGTGCTTCACTTGTTTACTTCTTCTTAGCTTGTTGAATCATATCACCAAGTTAGTGACTACTTGGGTGCTCTTACACATTGCTTTATCATGGTAGAAGTGGTGATACTGATGATGATTAGTGATGCTGGGAATGGAATCCATGATCACTGAAAATCTTTACAATACTTTGTACTGAGACTGTAGGATAACCAAAACCCTTTTGTAGTGGTTGATGCGTTGTGTCACCTTGGAAAGTAAAAGGTTGAGCTGGATGACTCAGTGGCTCCACACCCTAGGGTGTTGAGGTTCCTCCCTAAGATGGGGAGGGCCTGCCCGACAATGACTCAGTACAACAAGGATATAAAAGGAAGTTGAGGAAGGATTCAGCATGCCACTTTCTTAGAGGAGCTTTGATCTTCACTGCCCTGCCACTTCCTTGGAGAAGCTCCCGCCTTTTCAACGATCAAGGAAGGACGAGAGAGGGGCTTGACAGACACCGCAGCTGCCACTGCTTCCTCTGCTCTTCACCCTTTTCTGCTGCCATGAACTGCTGCCTTCTGCTTTGTGCTACTCTGCCTTGGAGCCAGACGAGTATGGACTGAAACCTTCACTAACTGTGAGCTAAATAAACCTTTCCTCCCTTAATTTTGGGCATTGGGTATTTTGTACCAACAAGTAAAATGGCTATTTTCTACCGCATGAACTGCTGTTGTTTGCCTTGGAGTCAGCAGAATATGGACTGAACACTCCAGTAACTGTAAGCTAAATAAACCTTTACTTCCTTAAAAAAAAAAAAAAAGAAATAAAAATTCTAAGTGACCCAATATCAATTAATAAAATTGAAAATGTAATTAAAAACTTACCAAAAAAAAAAAAAAAAAAAAACAAGTAAAATGGCATTGTCATATAGTTCATTCATTAATGGCATTGTCATATACTTCTATTTTTTAATTGAACTTTTGCCTGGTTTGGAACCAGGATAACGTTAGCTTCCAGAATAACGTTGGCAATACTTCTTACTTTTCAATTTCATTAAAGAATTTGAGGAGTATTGACATTAGATTTTCCCTAAAGTTCTTAAAGAATTCAGTGGTAAATTTACTGGATTTTGCTTTTTAAAAATACTTGGTTGGGATTTTTAAAAAATTACCTAAATATTTTTGCCTGTTTTGGAACTGTTCAAGTTTATTTATCATCCTGGTTCAGTTTCACTGATTCATATGTGCCTACAAATCTATTCATTTCTTCTGGATTCTCCTTAACAAAGTACTAGCAAACAGAATGTGACAAATCATCAAAAAGATCAGACATCATAATCAACTGAGCTTTATCTGAAAGATGCAAAGATGGTTCAATGTATGCAAATCAATAAATGTAATACATCGCATAAACAGAAACAAGAATAAAAATCATATGATTATCTCAATAGCAGCAGAAACCCTTGAAAAATCTAACATGCATTTGTGATAAAACCCCTTAAGAAAATTGGTGTAGAAGCAACTTATCTCAATTTGTAGTAAAAATATTTACTATTAATATCCTGCCAATCTTATATTAAGTGGGAAAAAACTAAAACATTTCCTCTAAAATTAGGAATAAGATAAAGATATCCATGGCCTTTACTCCTGCTCATTTTAATACTCAAGACTTTAGATAGAGAGAAATTAGTCAAGAGAAGGAAATAAAACTAGTATATGGAAGAAAAAGAAAGTCAAACTATCCTCATTCAAACATGACATGATCCTGTACATAAAAGACACAAAAATCCCCCAGAAGACTACTAGAACTAGGACAAATTCAGAATTGTGGAGGATGCATTATATATTCATTATGAACACACAAAATCAAAAGTGTTACTGCAAATCAAAAATGAACTCACTGAAAAAAATTAATAAATAATATCATTCATAATAACTTCAAGAAAATTATATATCTGGAAATTAACCTAATCAAAGAAGTGCAAGGAGTCTATATCTACTATTCTGTAAAGGGAGGTCAAGGAATACACTGGAAAGTGGAAAGATAAATTCATTCCTGTGTAAGCAGAACCAATATTGTCAAATGGCCACACCACCAAACCTGATATATACAATGAAGGAAAGCCCAATCCAAATGCCAATGGAAAAAAAAAATCCAACAGCAACAGCATTCCTTGCAAAACTAGAGAAAACAATCAAAATTTATATAGAATCAGAAGAGTCTGAAAACAGCAAAAGCAATTTTGTATAATAAAAGCAAAGGAGGACGCATCATAACCCTAGAGTACAAGTTACATTGTAAATTATAAGTGATGAAACAGTGTGGTGCTGGCACAAAAATGAACATGTCAATCAATAAAACCAAAGAGAGGATGCAGGAGCAACCATAAGCCTGGTAAGATGTCCAATCCTTGACAAGTGAGTCAAAAACATGCACTGAGAAAAGATTGCCTCTTCATCAAATGTTACTGGCAAACTGACTATAAACATGAGAAAGACAGAATTTAGACCCATGTCTTCCAAAATGCATGAAAATAATTAAAAATGGATGAAAGACTTGAAATTCATTATCTAAATTGCAGAATCCAATTGAAAACAGAAGTTATCTACCAGAAAATTAAATACGTAAACTCTTGAGGATATAGCTATGACTATGCATGAGGACTTTCTGAATAAAACCTCAATTACCCAAGAAATAACATGGAGAATCAAAGAGGATTATACCACATTCAAAAAAAATAAAAAACTTCTTTCCCACTGTTCTAAGGGAAGGAACAACTGGGGTGAGGGAAGAAGAAAAGAAAAGAAACAAAACAAAGCAAAAAGAAAAGAGAAAAGGAAATAACAAAAAGGAAGAAAATGTACATTTATATACATAGACTATCCTGAGCAATTGTACTGCTAATTTCTACTGG